GTAGTGTTTGCAAGGAGCAAATTTTCTCTTGCCATCACAACTGTCATTTTTTTTTCCAGCTTTTTAGAAGAGTGTTGTTTGCCTTTATTTTCTTGATGATTTTATGCATGAAAGACTCCTTCAGTAATTTTTTCTTGGCGCATAACCCTTCTTTATTCTTATGCTTGAAGAGCCTTCATTAGTTCAATCATTGAAATAATGTTGAGCTCTTTGAACTCTTCTAGAGAAGAAATTTTGGACTCAAATCTCTCAGGAAGTATCACAAAAACCTTTTCTACAATTCTGCTATATGAAAAATCCTCATCAAGTAAACAGATTTGGTTTACTATAAAGGAAATTTTGTCAAAGTATTTGTTGACAGATTCATTTTCTTTCATGCTTGAAGCTTTAAAATTTGTTTTCATATTCAAAATCTGCATTTGTCTAGTTATGTTGCTTCCTTAATATTCCATTTTTAATCTATCCCAAGGTTCTTTAGCAGTCTTGCATGTTATGATTCTTGAAAAAATTGAATCTACCACTGAATTTTGAATAACAATTATGACTCTAGATCTTTTGGCTTTTTCTTCATAATGGTTTTTAATTTGTGCCAATGTAGGATCTCTTGGCAATGGGGAAACAGGTCTGTCTTCTGTTACAATCTCCCAAAGAACAAAGGTTTGTAAATATGTTTGCATCTTTATTGACCAAATTTGGTAGTTTTTCACCATTAAAAGTATGTAGAGCTGTCAAATAAAGGCTATTGGTGGTTGACATTTTGGGTTAAGAAGTGTAACGTTTTTTATGTTTTTTTTATTTATTTCTCTTCATAGATCCTCTTAGACCGATTATGGTTTTGATACCACTTATTGGTTAAAAATAAGAATAACTGATAGAAAAAAGATAAAGAAAGATGTGGGAGAAAATTGCAATATCTTTTACTTCATTCAAGACTAATTATTTATATAAAAAAAAGAACTAATTTCCTACTTTTAGGGCTTAATATCTGTATTATTACATCTGTAAAAATTTAAAAAATATTACATAAAATCTTGAAAAATTTTATTCAATCATTATTTTCTGTTCTTTTTTGAAAAAATCTTATCTAAAATTAATTTTTGAAAAAAAATCTTCAAAGGAGTTTGAGAATTACTTCCTACAGCATGGAATTAAACATGAGAAGACAGTATTGGTACTCTTCAACATAATGGTGTTACTGAAAGAACAAACAAAACCCTCCTTGAAAAGGTCAGATGCATATTAAAAATGGCTAATTTACCAAAACTATTTTGGGGTGAAGCACTCTACACTGCTTGCTACTTAATGAATCGATATTCATAAGCTCCTTTAGATTTTGATATTCCTACGAGAGTATGGTTTGGGAAAGACGTCAATTATTCTCATATGAAGGTATTTGGCTACAAGACATTTATGCTTGTACGTAAGGAGCAAAGACAGAAGCTTGATAACATGACAGTTTCATGTATTTTTCTGGGTTATAGAAATACAGAGTTTGTATATAGATTTTGGGATCCAGTGAAGAAGAAAGTCGTTAGGTCCAATAATGTGATTTTTAATGAGCACAAGACCTTATCGGACTTTGAGACATCAGAGAAGATTACAATTGAAGATATTCCTCTTCATGCACTAGTTTTTCCTTCGATCAGAGATGTCACAAATGAGGGAGAGTTACATGATGATCAAGGGTTTGATGATATGTCAGAACCAGATGATGTTGAGTAGGGGGAACAGCACTTTGCATCCTAAATTATAAACGAACCTCAGCTTCAAAGATCAACTAGAACATGTCATCCTTCTACCAAATATCCCAGTTCTGAGTATATTACAGTTACTGAAGAGGAGGAAGCAAAAAGCTTCCAAAAAGTTCAGAACTAGCAAGAAAAAACTTAGTGGTTGAAAGCAATGCAAGAAGAGATGAGTTCTTTGAAGAAGAATAATAACTGAGTTAGTGGAACTTCCAAAAGGTAGAAAAGCTTTGAAAAATAAGTGGGTATTCAAGCTTAAGATGGACGATGAGAAACTAGTGAAATATAAGGCTTGTTTGGTAGTAACAGGTTTCAACGAGAAGAAAGTAATTGACTTTGATGAAATATTTTTTTTTTTGTTGTAAAGATGAGCTCTATTCAAGTAATTCTTTATTTGAGTGCTAATTTAGATCTTGAGCTTGAACAACTAAATGTGAAGACAACATTCCTTCATTGAGATTTGGACGAAGAAATCTACATAAATCAACAAGAGAGATTTGAAGTCAAAGGAAAAGGACACATGGTTTTGCAAGTTAAAAAAAAGTTTGTATGGATTGAAATAGGCTCTGAAATAGCAATTCTAATTTTCAAAAGCTTATGTGCTGGAACTAAAATGTCAGCTGTTCAACACCCATAAATTCTTCATGCTTAATACTTTGCACGTAATACAATATAAAGAGTATAATTTTGAGTTTTTGTGTTTATGAAAAATACTTATATGGTGAGCTAGGCATTGAGAAAGCTAGTATTGTAAAAGTTTGTTGGTAATAGTAGAAAGCTCAAGCAGGTTACTTAAGTAGAAGACATAGGTACGAGATCAGTGGTCGAACCTCTTTAAATCAAGTTTACAATTCCTCTTCTTTTAATTCTTTTATTTTCATAGTAATTATTAATTACTATGAGCAATAATTTATTATGCATATTGTTCATTCTCTAGAAAGTTTAAAAAGCATTAAAGTTTTAGAAACTTAATTCATCTCCCTCTTAGGTTGTTATAACATTCTGGCCAACACTTTTTTGTCCGTTGTTTGTTTCTTTCTTTATTTGCTCGATTATGGTCATATACTTGTATAAGTTTCAGGAATCCCTTAATAGATGAGATCATGTATTAATGCTTTTCAACGTCAACTCACTTTCCTTAATGCATGAAATCCCGTATGATTAGATTAATTAATGGACATTTATAAGTTCCACAGCCATAAACTATAAGTAAAACAAATTAGATGGAAGATGGAGTCTTTCATATTCAACTCTATAAACTAGTTCATGATACAGTATTTGGAGAGGAGTGATTTACCAATATCTAGTTAAGCAAAAATCCTTGTGAATCGTCTCAAGTAACAACCAATAAAGTAGTAATATTCACCTGAAATACTCTTTAGATTGCACTCCTAGATTTATTTATAAGAATTCTTTATTAAAGTAATTGATTCTGAGCCTAAAATATTGGGTACCGAGCACAATTTTGTCTACAGTGGCCTTCTTGAGTATGAAGCTTGGACCCATGAAGTACAAGATGGGGTGTTCAGGTTTTACCCACGAGCCTCCCCTCAAGGCAAAATCATTACTGGCCCTCATCAAATAGCTAAATAGAAATCATTCTTGATATCAAATAATTGAAGGATTTCAAATATGGTACATCGTTGCTTTAACTACCATTCAATAACTTCTGTTCAAGATTACGATAGCCTATTCTCTTTGCCGAGAAATTTAATAACTAGTATCCTTTTCCATCCACAACTATAGTTTTTCTCAGCTGTTAGCCCTATGTTTGGGCATAAATCATTGCCATTATCTTTGGACTCATCAAGAGTGTCATTCCAGCTTGAGGTTTGCAACATAGCTTGTTTACTTTGACAACAGAAATTCAACCCCATGTTCAAATTTAAAGTCATTCTAATTTTTTCAATAAAACATGCTAAGCTACTTTGAGAATTCCCACCATTTTCTCCTACAAAAAGAAAATTACATTCCCATCCCTTACCTGTTTGCCATTGATAAACTACCAGCGATCCATGTTATGTTTTTGCACCCCGCTCTGGGCGGAATTAAAATGGAACCAATAAAGCACTAGATGAGGGTTAAAGGCTGTCCTATGGAGACAAAGTGCAACCAGTTTTGGTTCCACAAAGCATGTTAATGTTCCAAATATATATATATATATATATTAAGAGAGGAGATGATACAGTCAAGGGTTAAAGGCTGTCCTATGGAAACAAAGTGCAACCAGTTTTGGTTCCACAAAGCATGTTAATGTTCCAAAAATATATATATATTTTAAGAGAGGAGATGATCCAGTCAGAACATGGAATAACCTAATAACAGCCACTAGTAATATTCCCGTTTCCAGATACAATATGGAATTTCTCCTACTGTACAGAGTAACTCAACACACGCTTATTACTTAATGCTTCATTAACTAAGATCACCCCTAAAAACAGTTGGCCCAAAAACATTACAGATTCAGAGATCCTTGGACTTCTGACTACTACTATACACAGATTCAACTTTTATAAGCAGAATGGAAGGATCAGTGGGTTTAAAGCAGGCAAGACCTTATTTTTCAACCCAAGCCAGCTCACTTATCAGCATTGATTCCAAATATTCGGACCTTGTGCATGTTAGGGAACTTGGCAACAACAAGCACAATAACCGCAAGAGTATTGAAGAAGAGCATTGGGTGTTGGTAATCAGTTGTATGCGAGGCTATTAAGTATCTGTTGGAAAAAAAAAAAAGTATGAGTTCTGTGTCTTAATCTCCATAAAATACCGGACATCTGATATTTTGAAAAAAAAAAAGACAGATTGTAAGTCCCACCAAAAACAGTCGACAGAGAGGCATAAAAGCGTTAAGCATGCAAATCAAGACCAATTCATGCCTTTGGGACAGCAACAATGTACGAATATCAGGACAAAATATGAGTACTCTGATTACAGAGATCATTTCCCAATTTCCAAGGCAAATGCTATCTAAGGTCCCTCTTTAATTCATTTCTCATTCCAATTCCTAACTAATTCTTAATTTCAATTTTGTCTTAGTCTTGATATGCATAATTACATCATGATTTTCTGTGTTTGAGTGATCATTACCCCGACCTTAAACTTTTTGTGAGAGAATTCAATTTCTATCTGGGAATTCAATTCCCACCTTCAGAGAGGATTTGAATTCCTATTCCCATGGTTTAAGATGGGAGCAACGATATTTCAAACATGAAGTTATTTTTTATCATATATATCAAGACTAATATGAAATTAGAACTTTGAATTAGCTCAAATGGAATAAGAAATGAATCAAATGGGCCATAAAAGTAACAGGAAAATATCAGGGCTTCCTGCTTCTTTTGATATAAACTTGTTAAAGGTAATGTGTGTATTATATATATATATAAACACAAACGCGCACACACAGAGTGGGAAAAGCATCACTCCAGAGAAGGTTATGCATTCATTCATTCAGTGAACATGCACAACATCACCCTAGAAGTGAGTTTCAACTTTTGACTCAGAACTTTCAATACAAATACTGTTAATGCAGATTAACTGACAAATCATCTCAAATTTACACCTTTACAGTTTGTTGAAAGACTATCCATGGGAATGTCTTAAATGGAGTTCCAGGGAGAATGAGCTTGGGGAAGGTAGAGCAGAAACTAGAGTGATAAAAGAGAAAGTCACCAAAGCAAAATAAGTTACTATACTCATAAACAAATATTATTCTTCTTCAACGATTCTTTTATTTTATGTTTTCTTAGGATAGGTACAGATCTTTCAAATCTCCATGCGTGGAGGTATGATAAAACTTACACCTTTTCAGTTTGTTGAAAGGGTATTCCATGATTGGAGGTAAGATAAAGACAAACATCAAAAGATTATGGTAAGAAAGCATTTTTCTTCTCTAAAGAAAGCCATAATAACAGGTACTAAGAGAAGGTCCTCAAAAGCTTGTTTTGATGGAACTATTTAAACCTAAAAATGGTAAACTTTGTAATAAATATGTATAATAGAAGCAAAATCAACAATACTATTAAGGTCGTGCCCAAGAACAATAGACCCAAAAAGGTGCAACCATTTATTCTTGATAGCAACAAAATCCGATTCTTTACCCTCAAAAGCTTTGTTGTTCTTTTCTTTCCAAATAATCCAAAAGATAATCAAAGGAATGATTTTATGATTAGCTTTTCTCTTGCACAGGCCTTCCCAGGCAAAAAGTTCATCCTTAACAGAACTGACAGAGAGATTGAGAGAAGTGGCAGTAAAGGAGCAGGTGTATGCATGTTTCCACATCAGTTTTACAAAGAAAGCATCTATTGACCATAGTGATAACTCTCCTTTGAAGATTATCCAAAGTTAAAAATCGTTCTCTAGCAACTTCCCAAGCAAAGAAAGAAATTCTAGGTGGGACCTTAGATTTCCAAACAATATTGGCTGAAAACTTTTGACAATTATACCCAGCCAACTGGGAGTAGAGAGATTTAACTGATCAGTAAGAGTATCTACAATAGAAGCAAAATCAACAATACTATCAAGATTGTACCCAAAAACAATAGACCCAAAAAGGTGCAACCATTTATCCTTGATAGCAACAAAATCTGATTCTTTACCCTCAAAAGTTTTGTTGTTCCTTTCTTTCCAAATAATCCAAAAGATAATCAAAGAAATGATTTTATGATTAGCTTTTCTTTTGCACAGGCCTTCCCTTCATCCTTATCAGAACCGGCAACAACCCAGAATAAATTCATGATATTTAAAACCAGTGACCAGAGAGATTGAGAGGAGCAGCAGCAAAGGAGCAGGTGTGTGCATGTTTCCACATCAGTTTTACAAAGAAAGCATCTATTGACCATAGTGATAACTCTCCTTTTAAGATTATCCAAAGTTAAAATGCATTCTCTAGCAACTTCCCAAGCAAAGAAGGAAATTCTAGGTGGGATCTTAGATTTCCAAACAATATTTGCTGGAAACTTTTGACAATTATGCCCAGCCAACTAGGAGTAGAGAGATTTAACCGACCAGTAAAAGTATCTACAATAGAAGCAAAATCAACAATACTATTAAGGTTGTGCCCAAAAACAATAGACCCAAAAAGGTGCAACTATTTATTCTTGATAGCAACAAAATCCGATTCTTTACCCTCAAAAGTTTTGTTGTTCCTTTCTTTCTAAATAATCCAAAAGGTAATTAAATGAATGATTTTACGATTAGCTTTTCTCTTGCACAGCCCTTCCCAGGCAAAAAGTTCATCCTTAACAGTACCGGCAGCAACCCAGAGAGATTGAGAGAAGGGGCAGCAAAGGAGCAGGTGTTCATGTTTCCACATCAGTTTTACAAAGAAAGCATCTATTGACCATAGTGATAACTCTCCTTTGAAGATTATCCAAAGTTAAAATGCGTTCTCTAGCAACTTCCCAAGCAAAGAAGGAAATTCTAGGTGGGACCTTAGATTTCCAAACAATATTGGCTGTAAACTTTTGACAATTATGCCCAGCCAACTGGGAGTAGAGAGATTTAACCGAAAATGTTCTGTTTTTGTTCAGATTCTAAATTAATTTATCCTCATTGTTGTTCAATCTGGTGGTGGACAAAATCTGAACCAGATTTTGGAACTCTTCCATCTCCCAGTCTTCAAGATTCCTGTATAGGCCAAGTTCCGGTCCCCAATAGATTTTGACCCTAGAATATGGGCAATGAGGGCATTTTTCTCCCTGGAAATAGCATAAATACTGGGAAATGTATTCTGTAATGTATCATGTCCAATCCGAACATTTTTCTAAAATTTGATCTTCATTCCATTACCAATAGACCACCTGAAAAATTAGATACAGAATTCCCACCTGCTTGATGCTCTTCCGTAGACTGTAGCCATGTATGCTGTGATCC